CCAGATGTAGGACCTTGCATTTGGCCTGAGTCAGTTGACACGGCCCCATGTACACAGGCTTTCACATCAACCCATACTAATATGCAGATGTTTCTACAGCTTTTCTTTTTATCTTACCTAAAACGACACCAAAGGACTCTGGGACAACTCTGGGGATGTTTTCCAGCAAGCCACCTCCAGTGATGTGGGCGTAGGCTTTCACATGGCCTGAGCGAAGGACAGGCAACAGTGTTTTACTGTAGATCTTAGTTGGGGTTAACAAGAGATCTCCTGTGGATGAAAGAGGATGACAGAAAAACAGTTACGGCGCAGAAAGAAATTGTAACCAATATGAAATTGAGGAAATCTCAAAATATTAATTTGCTAGATACTAATGAGCATTGTACTACAGAGGAAAACACAATGTTCTACCCTTTTTAGCATACAAATAGAAATGTATCCCCCTTCCTTAATTTCTTTCCTGCACATGTGATTCACAGGAAAAAAGATAATAACATGTTCAAGAACAGAATTTTGATTTAGCGCCTTAGAAAAGTTACAAAAGCAAAGGCACAGACAAAACAATTGTGTCACATTTCCCTCTTCAGAAGTTCAATTTATAATGCAAGAAACTGCACTGTAAATGATACCTAATGTCTGATCACCAGAGATGCCAACTGGAGAAGAGAAATCCAATGATGATTTTTCCACAATCTTCCTTACAAGGCTGTACCCATTGCTGTGAACCCCAGAAGAAGCCACTCCAATAACCACGTCTCCTTCAGCAATTCTCTCCAGCTGGGGCAGCATCTGCCCTCGCTCCACTGCACCAACAGCAAAGCCAGCCAGGTCATACTCTCCAGGTGGATACATGCCTGGCATTTCAGCAGTTTCTCCTCCTGTGGGAACGAAAAAAAGAGAAAGGGGGTGTTGGAAAACCTTTGGGACCAGGAGGCATGCAATTTTTCAAAGTTTGAAACTCATAAGGCATTAACAGACTAGGTTTTCTTATTAGATAAATGAACATCAAAAATAATTAAAAACATGTTTGTCACAGGCCCTCGAGTTGAACAAGCAATAATAAATTGGGAAAGAACATCCCCTCCCTCACTCTGACAACCAGTATCAAACGGCTGTGCATTCACATTTTAAAATCAAAGCACATATTTAGTGCTACATATTCCCAAATTTCTGCCAGGTTTAATATTCCCCATGACAATCCTACAAGATACAAGAGATACAAGAAATTCATACAAGGACATCAAAGGAACGCCATAGTTATTAGTCTCATTTGCCTTCACAAAGATTCTGTACACGGCACTGTCCTGCCTGCCGCTCTGGCCCACAACCTGGCCAGCGTTACCACACCAACTCTGAACATCCCAGGTTTATAGACTGTTTTGGGAGAACATCTCTAAAAGAGGGCTTTTCCCACCCATCCACGCAGATGAACTGTTGTCTAGGCTATTATCTTATATCCTGATTATTGGAGCATCCTCTTGTTTCGGTCTGAAAACCATGGCTGACCTCATTCAGAGAGCAGTCTGAAAAGGTAATTTTCCCAGCTTGCACAGAAGTGCCCGGCGCTGCTCAGACTGCATTCTCTCTCCGTATACACACCGACACTGGCTCCCCTACTGCCCTTCAGGTATAAGCTGATGGTCCTCACTGTCGAAGACCTGCCTCTGCCTGCCACTGTTTCACTCAGTCTAGAGAGGGGAAATTACTGTGTTTGGTATAAGAAATGAGCCTTTACTGCTCCCTACAAAGTTTTCCAACCCAGCGTCTTCACACTATTCCCTCACACTGGGGAGAAACTCTCCCTGGCTATCCCCGCAGCCATCTCATTATTCTCCTTTGAATCACAGAATGTTAAGGATTGGAAGGGACCTCAAAGGATCATCCAGTCCAATCCCCCTGCCTGAGCAGGACCACCTAGATCAGATCACACAAGAACGCGTCCTGGCAGGTTTTGAACATCTCCAGAGAAGGAGACTCCACAACCTCCCTGGGCAGCCTGTTCCAGTGTTCTGTTACCCTTACTGGGAAGAAGTTCTTCCTCGTGTTTAAGCGGAACCTCCTATGTTCCAGATTATATCCATTTCCCCTTGTCCTATCATTGGATGAACTCCTCTGCTGGTCATGACATCTACAAGAAAACAACCTGACAATGACTAAGTTGCCATTATATTATGACCTCTGCCCAACATGTTCTGCTTTTGCACTCACTAGATTTCATTCAATACAAAATTCTTCTGTGTTCCAAAAGTGTCCCTGAAGGGGCTCCAAATTTACCTGAGTGATGTTGAAAGCTGCTCTTGTGCTCAATGCTTGACACTGCTCAATACTAGATTCTCTGGAAGTTTTTCCAGGTTTCTACACTACATTGCTACAACCAACTTGAAAATCAAAGTTCATTTGCTTAGATACATTTGTTTAAATCTGTATTTAATGACATTTGTGCAGAACCAAGCATGTAGATAAGTCCTTCACAATCTCGCTACTAAGCGATGTGATGAGCTTAAGGCAGTTGAGATGAATATTCAGTTATTGCAGAAATGCAAGGTAGGAATTTAGGAACATGCTTCAAAGGAGACTTTCATGAGATAATACTATACAAAGACAGACCTACATGCTGCATGCATGCACAGTGCAGCCCAAACAAATTTGTTTTGATGATCCAGGCTACAGAAAAGGATTTCCTCTTTAGGTTCAGAGTTACTGCATCATCTCTGTCCCTTCTTTTCTGAGAATGCCAGAAATTTAGGAAGAAATTATAGCTCGTTTATTTTGGAGTCTGAATTTATTTTTATATTAGCACAAAAAGGTACTTACTAACCCATTTACAATTTTGAGAAATTATTCTCTGGTAATTCATTTACAACATCCAAAGCCATTTGTAGTTTTAAAATCTTCCATTTGGAAATAAAATCTTGAAATTTCAGTAAGTGATTTCATAGCAAGGTTTCATATAACATGTACTTACACTAAAGTATGAATGGTTTGATTATGTTTGATAAACTGAGAGAACACCTTAAGACAAATATAAAGCTGACTCACAGTTCATGCAGAAAAAATTGGACTGGAATATAAACAGCCTCTTGTTCAAAGCTTGTAAACTACCTCAAAATGACACACTGCAATTTAGAAAAGACTTTTGCTATTAAGTTTCTTAAAGAACTCGAAAAAAGGAACGAGCTATAGTATTGCCAATTATAAAGTGGTACCTAAAGTAAGATACCTGAACTGTCATTTTTAGTTTCAAATTAAAGTGTTTTTTTTTTAATTATGGTAATTCTCCACGTTTGTTTTTATAAAAGAGAATAAAAACAAATAATATGTAAGGAACTGAACTTTCTGGTTTTCATTGCTTTAAAATTTAACCCTGTCTTGCACTCCTTTTATAAACTAAAGATTTATGCAAAAGAACGTATTTTTCACTGTCCTAGAAATATTTTTATTGAGTTGAACAGTTTTAAAGCTGTATTTTTTAAGATTTAAGATGTGAAATATTGTGTTATTTTCATGGATAACTAGATTACTGTATAACAGAATATATACATAATTTGTTAGTAAAATGTATTATGTACTTGTATTATAGGCCTGAAAAGGAAAGTGTTTAAATTTGAGTCTTAACATCTTGGAATACGCTGATCTTGGTTAAATAAATCTTCAGCAAGTCTTCAGTAGACAAGTAATTTTGCTGTTAAGTTTAGTAACTAACGAAACCTGGTTTCTTCTGCATTTCTGTCTTGTGGTTAACTTCTGTTATCTGCTTCAGCTGAAGCTTCTGTTGCATTCGCAAGGACATTCTCTGGCTTTCTAGTTTTTATGAAGTTTGTGGGAACACAGTGACTGTGAGATCTCCACCTTTCCTGTCAAATGTGGTTAAAATCAGCTATGAGGTTCCAAGGATAATATGTATGCACACAGGGACATGTGCAAGCACAGTAGCACATATAAATCTTGTTTCTAGAGGAAAACTTGAGGATTTCCTTTAGGATAAAGGACAAACCCAAACAAACCTATTTGACATGTTTTAAAATTTACTTGAAAAATATGAAGAATTAAAATACATGAATTGTTAGTTTTCCAGGTAGCTGTTATAGTTATGAAGTTAAATGAGAAGATATTTATATGCAACTTCCTGACCCAATGGCAACACTTGCAGAGTACTGTCTCCTTCCAGTGGGTAAAGATTATGTTCTATGAAACCAAAGACTTGTGATGCTTCGGGTTTTTTTTCACTCCTCTAAGATTCTCTCAATAGAGCAGGAAAAAACCCACATTAAAGTCAATTATAAAGAGGCTGCATGAGATTTTTCATATCCTTCAAAGAAGAGCGTTCATACCCAAAAGAGCACATCCTGCCTTTTTGCAAGCTTCAGTTATTCCTGCAATGACACCCTGAGCCACTTCAACGTCAAGTTTGCCACAGGCAAAATAGTCAAGGAAGAAGAGGGGCTCCGCTCCTTGAGCCAAGATGTCATTGACACACATGGCAACCAGGTCCTGACCTATGGTGTCGTGTTTCTTACAAACTTGTGCAATCTGCAAAACACAGCGAGAGAACCCGTTGGTTAGCTTTGAGAAACCGAAACACAAGCGGAGAGTCTGCAATGGAAAGGGGTTGAAATCACACTGTTCCTCTAGACGCTTTTTGAGGAGCGGCTTCACTTCTGTAAGCCTCTCCTAACATTTTATGGTGGGAATTGCTACATTCCTAATTGGCAAGCACAAAAGGCACTTTATGAAGGAGACTGAACTGGAAAGGGTTTCATTGCAGCTTGAGTAAACACAATAGCGACTGTATAAAGAAATGGTTTTCCCCATAAGTAATCTTTTTGAGGGTGGAGATTCTACCTTAATGAAATGGAGTCCCTGATTACATAGTTATTATTAAAAATGAGTTATTTTAAGCATCGTTTCAAGTATGGCTAATTACATGTCAGAATTTAAACATATATTTAATTCTTTTGCCTGAAGAAGGGCCATTTAATTTTTCATTCCCTTTTTAGAAAGATAAATAGGTATTTTTAAGACAACTGATACTTTCTGATAAAACCTTAATGATGTGATTAAGCATTTTCACTTCTGTGCTGTTTTCCATCTTTTACATGTATTTTCACATTACCTTGAGTTTTGTGCCAACACCATCAGTTCCAGATACCAAAATAGGATCTTCGTAACCAGCTTCTTTCAAATCAAAGAGGCCAGCAAAGCCTCCAAGTTCTGCATTGCAGCCTGCCAGCCAGAAAACAGGAAAAAAATAGTAAACTTTTACTTTAATGGGTTTCTCCAGGATCTCCAACATGAATTCTCTCTGGTATCTGTCAACATGACTTTGCTTTGTCAATAGGAAACTTTTCCCTGACATTTAGAGCCTGTTCACTGAGGCACGGGAGCTCCTAATCCTCTTAAGTTTGCTTTGTCTTACTTCTTTGTTATTACCCAAGGCTAAAAATCCAAAACTTTGTGACTGAACATTCAATAATTGCTGTGACTGATATATTTCCCGCTTGCACTTAGTATTTTTCTGAAAAACAGAAAAGGAATTGTAGTAACAGATTGAAGCCCACTGCTTTCTGGAAAAAGATGATAACTAGGCATTTCCTTCTCTTTTTATTAATACTGCTATTTATGTTACATTAAGACTCCTTGTTCCTAAGACTAATTATGAGAGGTAAGTATGGTAACCTTAAAACTAGAATTGGTTAAATACTAAGAGTGAAACAAACATAAGTAGAAAATACTACAAATGCTAAATGCTAAGAAGTGACCAGTTGTACTAGTGTGTGTGTCTATACATAGTTTTCTCTCTATATAGATCTGGTGTTGTCTGAAGGTCCTCAGTTACTTTGAAGTTAAAGGGTTATTATATACAGGACTGATATTTTAAATTTTTAAAATTAATTACAAGGACTTGCTAGAGCAAGATGTGCCTGAGATCAAAACAAAAAAAGGACAAATTGATTCTGTTTTAACCAAGCAAAAGATGTGTCTTCCACATCTATCTCAAGAAATACATAGTATCTCTGAAGAATTCTACATCTTGTATACCTTTCTAAACATTTATCTACAAAAATTGTATAGTTCACTGTGCAAGAAATAATAATCCATGTAATCAAAAATAGCACTAAATGGTAGGATTTTTACCTGCATTTAAGCTTTTAGACTGCTGCACTGTTTTCTCTAGCTTCTCTCTCATTCTTAACATATGTGACATTCAAGAGATAGAGTTTAGTCATTTTGAGAAGAAAACCTGTAAATTTTATGACGTATATTTTTAAGAAATCACAGGCATTTGCTTACCACAGATATTTATTGTGTAATCTAGAAACACACAGAACACATAAACACGAGCTTTTTTATCAAGATCAAGATCAAATGAAAAGCCTCATTGCCATGAACAGACTGGAACAGGAATAGTAGGTACAAGTCTTACCTGACCTTGACGTGGCTGCAGCGAGGGGTTTAATTTTCTGAACCAAAGTATTGCCTGCTGCGATGTCTACCCCACTGTTTTTGTAAGTCAAGCCTCTGAAAGATTGTTAACAAAATGTTATGGCAATTGATTACCAAATGCACAAGCATGTATTTTAAAATAACACTTACTTCTTTACATCATTGCATCACTGAGAGGATTCACCATTCAGAATCTTATTCTACAGTCAGGTACAACTATCTTCCCACTTGTACAGTAACTTTGCTCATATAAAATGATTTCTAAGTACTGCAATATTCATTTCAGGCAGGCTCAATGGCTCAAAGGTCAATCTTTTTGCTGTTTGGAACCTGACCTCACGCATATTCCCTGAAGATAGGGCGTACTACACCAAAGAAACAAAACTTCACAGATTTGCACCACAGAGGATTTGCCATAAGCAGTATTCAGATAGTTCCAGATACCTTGAAGACAGCATCACATGCTATCCAGTCAAATACCAAGATAAAAACCAACCAAAAAAAAAAAAAAAATCCAACAAGGTAAACCAAGTAGAATAATGGATCAGCTTTCGCAAGGTTTGAATACCTGGTCTGGATGCTGAAGCATCAGTAGTATAGTTCCTATGCTCGAAATAAAACGTATACAAAAACACACTGCTAAATCTGAACACCTCAGCACTATGCAGGTTCAAGCTCAAGTTAGCTTTTCAAAACAGGAGTGTCACATAAATCAATAGTCTTCTGTGATACTTAGAGAGCTTTACAACTGTAGCTTAAAGGTTGCCTCTCCTTATCACCTGGAATGATACCAGCACAAAACCAACTGCACTTCTTTTTTACTTAAGTGGACTTTCTATTAAAGTACATATTTCTAAGTTTATTTAAAAAGAAATAAGTTCCTAAGGTCCGTTTTAGCAATCTAGAAAGAAATGTCCATAAGATCTGGGTTGTTTTTTTTATATACAGGCACACAATACCCTCAGTACAAACTGGTGTATGTAACTTGTCTGCCCATATGACTGACTGCAGACATTAAGTATCATATCACATTTAATGAGGGACCTTTTCATTTTGGACATAGTGAGCTTAATGACTTTTAATTACTAGTTGTACTAAATATATCTCACTCCAGTTAAGCAACTGTTGTTTCTACACTGTCAGTGGCACAAACTGGGCTACCTGGTGCATCTCTATCTTTGGTTCATATCTATTTTAGCTCTCTTATTGATGTGATTCAGTATTAGTTTAAATTCTAAGGGTGAGACACATCATTGATTAACAAGGGCATGTACAACAAAATAACTGGCCAAAGAGCTGTGATACCAGGAAAATGCAAAGATATCTGCACTCAAATTGCATCACTGCTCAAAAATTTGCAAGAGGAAAATAATTATATGAAGCAGCTGTTCAGCCTGTGAATAAGAGTCAAGGAAATATTAGCCTGCGATAATGTGACCAGTCAGGCCCTTTCAGTCTGAACATGATGAATATTCAACATATTTTCACCTTATTTTTAAAAGCATAGTATCTACTTTGACTCTTTAAACGGAGAGTATTGTTCTAAACCACTTTTTATTAAATAAATATTCTGTATATTTTTACAAAGTGAAATGCATAGGACTTAATCCTGCAAAGCTGCCAAGAGGACGTCCCCAACTTTACAGAGCCAACCATCACCCTTCCTTTACTGTCTGTTCTTCCAATTTTAGGATGTCTGAGGAAACGTTGGTGCAGACTCAAGGACAGTGGAACAGGCACTGACTGTAAACAGTTCCCAGGAGCCTGCTTCACAAGCTAGGGATCCTGCCAGCGTACAGGCACTATATTTAAGAAACTTGCTGGCCATGGCCCATGAACTCAGTGATTTAGAGAACTGTTCATTAAAGTACCTTCTTCTCTTGCCTCACACAACAACTTGATCTTTTTTTCTGCTACAATACAAATACAATTACTCGTTTTCACATAAATTTCTCAGAAGATTCACAGTAGTTGTGAGAGAAAGAAGACTAGATTCGAATGTCCTTGTTCATTTCGTAGGTTTATTGATCGTAATTTTACAATATACTAATTGGTGTACACTGTCAGCAAAAATGAAACTCTCATTAATATGCTTCACAGACTACAAAATAACCTATTATCAAAAGTTAGGTTGGAGACAAGGCAGGCAGATATGCTTCATATTAAGTAAAAACAGTCCAAAAACCAGCAAGAATCTCTCAGTAACATTAGAAAGACAGTAGGACACATTGCTTTAAAAAAACCCCTCACCCATACCATCTGAACATTGTTAAACTGAATCTTGTGAAAATAAAAGGAAAAATAATAAAAAGTAGGGATAAATTCTACCCATGTTGTTAGCCAGCTATTCCATTAATATGCATAACCCAACAAGGCAGGCGTTTCAAGACCATTTTAACCATTTCTATAGACTCTGAAATAGACCAAAAAAATAGCTCAAACTTTGTTCATACATACATTTAATGGTATTAATATTAGACTTCTGGACAACACAAATCTAGAGCAAAAGCTACAGTTTAGAGCCTAAGAAGAAGTTCACCTTCTCTAAAACAGACATAGCAAAGACAGCAACACAAGTTATGCCTGTGTGCTGGTCATTGTAGTTTAACTCAGACTTAGGAGAATAAGAACGTGGATGAGAGAGTCATCAAAAAGCCTGTTCCTTCCTTGGCTGGTCTTGCTTAGATTGCTCACAAGGATGCTTGTTAAAACTTGTCTAGTTATGCATAATAGCAACATCAGTTTATTAATGTAAACTAGCATCTTTAAATCCCTTTTACATCAGTTATTTCCATTTCAAATATTTCAAATATCTACCTGGATTGTCTCAGGAAAGCTACAGCCCGATAACCAATGTCCTTTCTATAAATGGCACCCTTGAAGTGTATGGCTGCTACTCCCTTGTTGGCTTCTTGCAGTGCTGTCATTAGATCCTCTTTAATAGCGGTTACTGTGAGGACTCTTCCACCACTAGTCACAACTTTGCCATCCTTTAGGGACGTGCCTGCATGGAACACCTCCAATCCTAGTTGCTTAGCCTTAGAAAGTCCTGTGATTGTTGTTCAATAAAATAAACACAAAAAAATCAGTTGATTAGAACATTGTCTATTAAATTACACATGGAGAGATATTCAGCACTTACTGACTGTGTCTAGAAACCACAATCGAATTCTGTATGATCATGCTGGGAAATCATAGAATCATAGAATGGTTTGGGTTGGAAGGGACCTCAAAGATCATCTAGTTCCAATACTCCTGCCATGGGCAGGGAAACCCTCCACTACACCAGGTTGACCAAAGCCTCATCCAGCCTGGCCTTGAACACTTCCAGGGATGGGGCATCTACAACTTCTCTGGGCAACCTGTTCCAGTGCCTCGCCACCCTCTGAGTGAAAAATTTCTTTCTTATATTCAATCTAAATCTTCCCTCTTTCAGTTTAAAGCCATTTCCTCTTGTCCTATCACTATATATCCTTGTAAAAAGTCCCTCTCCAGCTTTCATGTAGGCCCCCTTTAAGTACTGGAAGGCTGCTATAAGATCACCCAGAGTCTTCTCTTCTCATAAACTACATTTTGAGGAGAGACAAGTCTGCTACTTTTAGGCTCGGAGACACTGAAAGAGGTATTTTGCTGAAACATCTGCATACAACATTTAATTCAAGCTGGATTTTATACTTCACTGACACAGAGATCACAAAACGTATCAGCACCAACATTATGCAAGAATCAGTGATCAGCCCAGAACTACTTTACTGTAACACATATTAAAGAAATGCTATAGAACTTAATGATACAGTGCAGAGATTTGAAAATACTAGGGGTTTTATGCATTATCAGTAAACTTTGATGTATGAAAATTCAGTCTTCTCTTGCTGGCCCATAACCACAAGATCTAAAGTTTCTATGAACCTGAGTTACACTGATTCACCTTCATCTGGCAAAAGACAGAAAGGAGAGGGGGCAGGAGAAGAATCAGGCTTCTGCAGTTTCTCCTGCTATATTTACCTGTTATTTCCAAACCCTTAGGATATGTTCCCGGATACCCTTCGCTAGCCATGACCACCGTCACAGCTGCACTGTCTTCAAACCAAACTGGCATGGAACTAGACAACTTTTTATTGACAACTGCTTGCATAACTTCATACAAATCACTTTTCAAAAGTGGAAGAATTACCTACAAAAACATGGATTAGCAGATTAAAGAAAATAATGTACCTTGTCACATTTTCTTCACTAAGCTTTTAAAAATACTAATGCAATTGTAAAAATAACATTAAATAAGTATGTTCATATACCGTATTTTCACACATATATACATACTGTGCATTATCTATGTACCCTTAAAAATACTCTTGCTTGAAGATAATTTCTATGGGTAAAAGAACTACTACATATGGACGGAAAAAGGTAGAGACCAAAGAACCCTATTTGTGCTGAAGAATGGAAATGAAGGGTTTTGTTCCACTTGTCCAAAGGAAGTGGGGAGAAAAGCGTTTGCTTCTTTAATATGGTAAAAAAAAAAGTCCAGCTCCATTCCAGAAGAGATAGGGAAGAGCTGAGTTTCACTCAAGCTTACCCTTGTAAAGTCCATATTTGAGTATAACCCACTGAAATCTTCTCTGGAATAGAACAATTTCATAACAGACCTCCTGTCTTGAATAAACAAACTAACTATTTTAAATCTCAGTGCAATTAGCTAATTATTGATCCAAAAGTTAGTTAAGAATAACGATAGATGGTAACGGACTTTTCTCCTCCTAGGATGGCAAACTGTATCTACCTACAAGATAACTCACCTGACATTCTGGGTCACCAAATCTGCAGTTAAACTCTAGAACTTTAGGTCCGTCTTTGGTAAGCATTAATCCAGCATAAAGCACACCTGGAATAAAAAATTATATAAAAAGCTATCTGAGCACTGCAAAGGTAATTTGTTTTGAATCTATTCATATTACAGTGTTCATTTAAAGGTAGGATCTTAACACTTCAGAAATGTTAAAAATATATCAGGCAGAAATAGCTGCAGTTACAATTTTGCATCTTATTTTCAAATTATGTCCATTCTGTTCTTCCTTACTTAATGATTATTCACTGTTAATGAAACTATATCCATTTATTTCAACGGACTCTGAATCAAGCCACTGATACCAAACCCAGTTTCCAAGTAAATTCAAGTTATCTTCCTTAACTTACAGTGTGAGTTAGGCCTATAAAGAGGACAAAGTAAAAAAAACTGTCTTTCTCCTTATGCTTAAAACCCCCAAACTTCTGTACATACCAAAATAGGGGACACCTTCTTTCCTCATGCCATCAACAGTTTTCTGAAGAATAGTATCTCTTATTTTCTGCAACAAATCTTTAGAAATCTAATAAAACAGGATTAGAAGACAGTGTTTGTAAAAAGGAAGTGCATGACTTTTCCTACTGCAATGGCTAGTGTTTTTAAGAGCCAAGCAGAACACTTGGATGGTCTCTTGCCCACTGCAAAACATTTCCGTTTCATACAACGAAAAGCTAATTTTTTTTTAACTCCTCAGACAACATACTTCAGCATTAAATCAACTGTCTGTATTTCTTCAGACTCTTTTCCATGCTTAGATTTACATTTGCAAGCAATCCCACTGGCTTCACTGGAACAAACCATTTGCACAGACATATTAGCATTTAGACAAGGCCTCCCAAAGACGAATCACGGTGGGAAAGTATAGTGATCAATGATCAAATTTTATTCAATAAACTAAATTTATAGCTTTCTATAGTAACAAAGTCTATAACTTTTTTGAACTAAAAAAAGAAAAATCTCTGGTCATGACACAGGTGTACAGAAAGCAAAGTAAGTCCTTTTGCAAATAGCTCCTCACCAAACAAAAACCAAACTACCTTGAGGTACAGCAAGTGAAATAAGCTCATCATTAGCTTAGTTTGGCACAAGGTAAAAATGCAGTTTTAAGCACTTAGTTCTAACAATCAGTATTTCATAACACTGGAAAACCAACCAAAATACAAGGTTGCAGAAATAACACTTGACCTTCATAATTAAAAATAATTCAGTAGAAATATCCTCCTCTTTAGAGATATAAATTTAAGTTATGGACTTTACTTGACTATGTTTGTTTTAGGCAACTCCTTCAATCCATAAGAGTCCACTCTCTTCACTCTCCTTTTCATCACGGTGGAACTAAGAATTCACACATGCTTTCAACACTAGAGCTGTAGTATAGCTTTAGTGAAACATCTCCTTGTTAACACATATTTACCTGAGGTGCTGGGGAATAAGCTCCCATCCCTCCAGTGTTAGGGCCTTCATCTCCATCCATTAATCGCTTGTGGTCCTGGGCTGGAGGCATGGGAGCAACTGTGACGCCATCAGTGAAACATAAGCACTATATAAAAAGAAGAGGAATTAAAACCCAAGCGTATCATTAAAATTAAAGTGCAAAAAGTGCAAGTATACATTATTTCCAGTGTTGCAAATGAATATTTAAGAGTATAAATTCTTTCTCCCTGATAAAACAAACTACAGTATTCTAAACATTTCCCCTTTCCCTTAGGGAACAGTGTCTCAGTTTACATGACCTTCCTACAGAAATTACTTTTAATATAACATATAAAACTATAACATAACATCAGTAGTGGTACTGAAAAGAAATACTCAAAAGGTTAAAAAAAAAAATTCAAATACTCTATGATGGAAGCTACTTATTCCCTCCCTCTTCTTTCCTCCTGCCCTGGAAGGAAGGCATTACATTCCTTTCAAGATTTCCTTTTCCTTGTTGATAAAACTATTTACTTCTGAATTATTTATAAATTACTTATATAGCAGATGCTTTTATCCTCGGTATTTCATAATAACAAGCCTGCTGTCATCTTCTGTAACTGGATGATGTTCACTGTCTGGACTACTGCTAGCAGTACTCATAAAAACATTTTACAATGTTAATTACAAAACAAGCAAGGATTCCCCTACAAAACTCAAAAATGCCAAAATATTAATATATTCAAAACTACGGTCATTTGCAGAAGGTGAATTATTTTGACAAGCAAGACAAGCGGTATGTTTTTCTTCATTGCTGTCAGTCATCATAGAAAAAAAAACTTTAAACTGCGTATTTATATTATTGTGTTATATTACATTAAGTCTGTTACTGTTCTAAGGACTAATTAAGAGCATTACATATTTTCCACCAGAGAATGAAGATCAGTATAACACCTTAGTTCCTAAAAAGGTCAAGCCAACTAGGAAGGAATAAGGATGACCTATAAGTGCATGTCTAATTTCTTCATATTGGGCAGGCAACCAGACTATGCAAAGATTGGCAACAGTTGGAGATGATCGCTTACTTTATAAATACCACCACCTCCGAGATGAATGTTCACAACATCTAGCATAAGTCAGCTCCAGCTCCAGGACTCAGAAACCTGAACTGGTACTTGGCTATTCTACTTCGTGTGATCCAAGGGTCAAGTTCCCTTGCTACCTCAAAACCTAGGCTCTAATTCTCCTTTTCTCCTTCACACTCTGCTAATTAAATCAGATAAACTTTTTAAACAAAGGAGTTGAATCAGCTAAAGATGAAGGAAATGTTCTCTCTGCATCTGCAGAGTAAATCTACACTGTCAAAACATTCAACAGCCTTTAGTTCCAGGTCATTTGTCCTCAGGTGCACTTCCACATTGCTGTATCTCTGGCAATGACGCTGGTTAAAGAGGATCCTGCCTGCGCCTGTCTTGAGCTGACATTCCCTTGCTCCAAAGGAGTCTACTGCTCCCTCATGATGCAGTTCAATGTATTTCCTTCATCAGCAAACCTGATTAAAGAAAGTCTCCATCCTCCCTTACTCCCAACCACTCCTTGCCTCACTCTGCACTTCACCATCCTCTTACTTGTACTGATTCAAATGGCACTAGGGTCTAACCAGAACACAGAAAACATGCAAGGTCGTGGTGTTGGTTTCTTTGAAAAAAGGTCTTTAGGTTGTAGCTTCATGAACGGGTAACTAGTATAGGTGAATCAAAGGCAAACAGTAGTGAAGAGGTAGCAATGTGGAAGGGAAGGGACATCTTATGCTGTTTTTGCTGTCAGAGAAATCGTTAACACAGAACTGCACACTCAATAACACTCAAAATTTTTAAGGTCTAATTTCTTTTTCCAGGTGGTAACAGTTGATTACTGCTTGACTTATTTTTATTTAATTTTAATTATTTTAACAGACTGCAGGAAGTTTGGTTCTTAACACCGCTGACTTTAATCAATACAGTTTTATTTATAAAGAGATAACTGTTTTTAATTCAAGTAATAAAATCTTACATATCCCTGCTGTAGGTACTTGCATAGTGTTTCCTAAATAGTTTAGAACCAGTATAATCAAAATGTTACAGTGAGATGCACACTTACAGAAACTTCCTCTCCTTCAAGAAGTTCTTCAACAACAACAGTTTCCCCAGCTGTGCCAAAAGTCTTATCCTACAGTAAAAACAAAATCTCTTTAGTTATGTTTCAGTTATTTTAAAATATTCAGCATGCAATTAAAAAAAATATTTTTAATACGGCAAGAAAAATACAGCACAGTTTTGAGACTATTAATCCATTCTCCATCCTGGGTACGTCAGCAAAGGCAAAATCTTTGCTCCTCTTTTCTGTTTATTCTTAAACAAATGCAGATTTTATGCTTGAATATTTTTAAATTGCAAATGATATTTACGACTTACTGAGCAATTCCTCATGCTCTACCTTCTGAAGTTTGCACTCATGATACTGAAAGTAATAGCAATGACTATCAAGTCTATAATCAGAGCTTTTACTTTACAGGCATGTGCAGCTCTATAGAATACATTGGAAGGGGGCAATAATTTCATATTCCAACGCAACGTTTGAACATTGACAGCATATTTAAGCAATTAAGAATAACCGCTCCACACTGACAAGATAATTTTGTGGGTCTGTAAGACTCGCTAACATACATTTTTTTTGTTCAAAACATTGGACTGCATGTTAAGACATGTATTTGTCCAACAACCATACACACACATTCACACACACCAAAATGTGACTGCAGACCCTATATTCTGACTCTTGAAACACAAGCGTACCAGATAATGTCTCCTATGAATCAGCATAGCTCCACTGAATTGTAAGATGCTGTGCTGCTGACACCAGCTGAGGACCTGACCTGTACGTGTGTTATTTTCCAGCTCTATGTTCCTAACTGTTCAGAGGAAATTGCTTTGTTTTGCTTCTCTTCAGATTTCGATGGTCCTAAAGTATTTGTTGAATATCCTACCTAAAGATACACTTAACTTGAAACAATTCCACTGGATTTTAAGTAAGTGCAGTGTGACTGGAGTCCTAAAGCTGATGTTGCTTGGCAAGATGCAGCTCAATCACAGTGTTAATATTAGAGCACTGTAGTACCTGTTTGATTGCAGCAGTCTCAAACAGTAAAAAAGAAAAAGGAAATTAATATGGAAGGAAGCGTGGGTTTTCATTAAGAAGGATTTTATTTTAGCCTACAGGAGCTATGCCTAGAAATAGTACCGTGCCTCAAGCAATAAATATGACAGAGCTTCATAGCTGTCCAAATAATAACAATTAAAAGATTTGATGCCTTTTAGCCAAATTCCTATTACATAGAAACAAAGACTATGTTTGAGACTCTGAGATGGTTATAACAACTTATTATTTTGTGTGAGAACTCCTCCAGTTAGTGCATGACATTTCTACTCACCTGCATGATTTCAGTAACAGCTTTGCAGGCTTCTTCCTTGTTTGAAGCCACAATTACTCCTTTGCCAGCTGCCAGGCCACTCGCTTTTACAACTAAAGCAGGGAAGCTCGCACTTCAGAGACAGAGAAGAGAGATTCAACAATAAACACTCTGTACTGCAATTATATTTATATCATTTATATATACATACATATTTGAGGTCCCTTCCAACCCTAACCATTCTATGATTCTATATTTTGTAGGCATTTTGAACATTTCAACAGCTGAAAGATCAAAATACTTACCAGTTTTCATAGCAACATTTTACCTTATTGAATAACACACAAATAAAAAACAGGTTTCTCTCGTTATGCTATGCCTATGAAGGATTTCTGCTTCCTGTTTTTTCCCCACCACTGAATTTCATTATTGTTCTGAAAGGTTGCTTTCCTTTTAATAATTTACTGTTGCATTATTTTTGGGTCACTTGGATTGCATTCTGATGAGTTTTTTAACTCATCATTTGCTGAGTTAAGTCTCCAATGCAGAATTTATATTTGTGGAGAAAAGGTACAAGGAAGGCAGAATATATGACTATGGGACTGCAAGCTGGGTTTCCACAGTAGGCAATTTGAGAAAAATAAAAACTTGTCCCGTATTCTCTGTAAACTGAGCACAGAACTTTATATTAATTGAAAAGCAGTAAATAAGAACCATTTAATTATCAGACTTCTTGCATTGTGAAAGTGTCATGTTAGATTATTCTTTAAAACGTTTACAGATGTTCTATCACAGCCAAAAGTATTGACATATTAGTAATCAGTTGATTGGATACCTAGCACACTGTGCATTGCTGTAAAAAAATATTTCTAAAATGACAAGAATTTTACCTGTTAATAAAGCTACATGCTGCTTTAGGATCAGTAAAAGATTTCCATCTTGCAGTTGCGATCTCATGACGATCCAAAAAGGCTTTGGTAAAGCTCTTACTGGACTCCAGCTGAGCTGCCTTTGCTGTTGGACCAAAACACCTTACTCCAGCTGCTGTCAAGTCATCAACAATTCCTAAAAATGACAACACAAGAAGATCTTATATATCACCAGATGATTTATAGCAGTCATGTAGTCCAAGTCTACAGATGCACTGGTTTGTTGGAACAAGTATGCCAGGAACGCTAAGACCTATATATCTATCCAGGGCCTATTTTACCAGATGGGCCTTTGATGTGTTTTTCATTGTAACCGGGCACAGGTAACCCTGCAATATCTGGGGATAAGAAGGTCTGCTGCATTTGGTGAGAGATGACAATTCTCCCTTGTTTTATTATAGCTTTTAGCTAAAAAGTCAACACTAGTCTTTTGTGAAGATAACAATTGTTGACTGTGTAAAAGGTTAAATCAGAAAAATTATCAATATGTTTATAAATGTTTGTTTGTTTTTTTTTTTACCAAGTCTCAAATTATTATTAATTTAAAAAATGAAAAATCCATAGGCAAACCGAAACTCTAGTTGAGGTTTCCGTATGGAAACACTTTGATATCTCTTTCACTAATCCCAAGCACTTAAAAAGAAATGGAACATTTTAAGGATATTTTAACCAGTTTATTGCTCACACAATACTCTTCAGAAATTCATTTTCATCACAGCACAACCCTAAGTTTCAGTGAAACTGCCACGGAGGATCTATTTGAAGATACTCAGATACTGTTGAGTGGTGGACAGAAGACAGGGACTAAAATTTACTTTTCTTCCTACATTACGAAGGCTATGATTTTTAGCTTGCTTTCTCTTACCAGCAGCAAGAGGAACCTCTGGACCAACCACGACCAGCCTGATCTCCTGATCTCTGCAGAACTGGGCAAGCGCAGCATGATCGCTGATTGAAACCGCTGTCAAAGACACAAAGGGGCGGTAAGACTGCGTTCACTACTGTTGCACAGTGCCTATTTGTCACGTAACACTGGAGCAGCATTTTCAACAGCCTCACATTCTTGAACTGCAGGTCACTGCCAATCTGGAAGAGTGAGTCAGTCATACACTAATGTATAGACTTACACATGAGACTTGGACCAAAATACACCACCAAACCCCTCAAGCGAAGGCTGTAGTCTGACGTGCATCATCAACTGACCTGGCTCTTGAAGGTGAGAAAAAAAGTTTCGAGTTCCCCTACGCTGTCATACAGTATACTGCTCTATCTACAGGAATGTCCCTTTTGCCAGCACAAGAAGCATTGCACAAGCAAAAAAAAAAAAAAAAAACCCAAACATTTTTCAGCCAGTCCCCTCCCTGAGCAAGGTCACCATAAAGCTTTACACGTTTGTGCCAGCATGGTGTGGAGGACAGGAACAAGTGGCTAGTGATGGAATTGCAACTGTTTTATTTTTTTCTTTCTTTCCGTAGTGTCAGCTAAAAATTGCCACTCTAAACTGTGACCCTGCTAAAACAAAGCAAAATCTGAACATTTTCTGACATCAGACTGAACTTAATAAGGGCAAGTGCTGTAACTATGGGTAAGGATATTTGGTCTTAGATTTTTAGGATCGTTCTCTTTCCATAAACAAACATTTAATATGACGATACTTGGAATGCCAAAACCTGTGTAAACAAAAGAAAAAGCTTGCACTAAAGACAATAGCGTCAAGTCTCATGACAAAAAATTTACGCAAAGGCAATGCAATTCCACTGCTTTTATCAAGAATAAATAAAGCCAAGGTCTACAGAGGACAGGAACGTGAACCCATGAGAGCCAAAAACGTGGTAAAGCGCAGCCCAGCGTGGATTGGCTGCCCCTGCGGGGAGGTGACTAACGCATCGAGGCACAGAGCTGGCAAAGGGAGCATGGGATGGCACAGCACAGACTCGCCTTGCAGCTGGAATACTTTGCTTCAAGTTTTGTCTGTGATCTCCTGTTAGTGACCATACTGGCAAGCACACCCAGAGCCGACGGTCTCTTCCAGACAGTTTCTGGGGAAGCGACAAGAGAGAAAGGAGAGGCAGTGATACCACAGCTTCTGCTGGACAAACAGACACGATTTTGTGTCGGTGCCCACTATGCTCCTGCCATCCTGTGTGAACAAACTGCCTGCTTCCACAAGAGATGCGGTCACTTCTGCCTAAGAGATGGCATAAAAGCAACTACATGAGACCTACATTTTGGTTATAGATTTGCCCTATTTGGGTGGAGTAGGGGGAAAAAAAAAAAAGACTGAACACTAACAAAAATTACTTCCTTGATACCTATTTAACAGTTCAATTATTTTGTTCCACCAATGTTGCTCACCAGCCTGGGCTGCGGCTCCAAGGATGCCCTTGCATCTTCCACAGCCAGGAGGAAATGGCCCACCTTTTGTAGGCAGGGTCTCAACCTTAATTAATTAGTTAATTCAATTCAAGCCAGCTGGGTAATAATAATTGGATGCCATATTTCCCCCTTTTTGTTTTACCAGTTTTTTGTTTTTAGAGGAAAGTAAAGGCTTTACAGTGAGCAGAGACCCAGTCCATTCATTCCAACTCCAGCACGCTTCCCTCCCGTGAATATCACATCGGGGCTTGCGGCTTTACCTTCTTTACCAAAGGACTCTCGCTCCGGCCCTGGCTCCAGCTCGGGAGTCACGGTCCTCAGGGTCTCAGACGTATCACGTCGGGGTCACCAGATGTTGCTCACCAGCCTGGGCTGCAGCTCCAAGGATGCCATTGCATCTTCCACAGCCAGGAGGAAATGGCCCGCCTTTCGTAGGCAGGGTCTCAACCTTAGTTAATTA